ATAATACGGTAATCAATGTATATGGTAGGTAATATCATATCAATAAAGGAAAAACAAGTAAAAATCACAGAAAATGTCATTTATTCTACCTCTACATCGTCTACAATGAAAGAGGAGGACTTCAGAGTACTGTTAGTAATGGATGAGTACACTCTGCATGCTTCAAATGTTTTAAAATGAAGTTTTATTCTGAGTGTCCTGACTCAGGACACTTTTTTTTTGCTCCTGGCACCTTATGAATAGCATATGGAATTTTTTGGAGAAGCCATGTGATAGCCCTTGCAAAGAGCTTTGAAATGAGCCTAAACTTGTTTATGAAATGTTTCATGGTAAGAAGTTATAAATGAAAAACGTTCTAAATCGTCCTGAGTTGCCCCGCTCGACGGTATTCCCATTCAGGAGAGGTGCCTCCATTTGCAAACTGTGACACTTTCCTCAAATTTGTCATTTGCATATGTAACTAAAAGTGTTCTACTACAATGCACCAAAACCTGGAGTTATTTGGAGTTATTTTACCAAAGAACAATTGATTTTACCACCCAGTCTAAGATACCCCAAAAGCTGGGGTAACAATGACCATCACTTTTTTTTAAATTTCATAAAAACTATGAGAGGCTGAAGTCACCCCATTTAGACCATATACCTACTATGGGGTGACTTTGGTCAGCTAATTTTTTAGGCATATATATTACATTTGGTAAAAATGTATAGCCATTGATATACCGGTAACCATTATACAAGATACCAAAATAAGTGAAACAAATCTGATTTCAAAATTCTTTTTGTATCTCAAAATATTGAAGTTTGCACTCAGCTTTTTTTCCTTTACAGTACAGTGGGATTCAGATTGTGTTGGTCAAGCAGTATATAAAATTATTGAAACAAAACAGTTTCCAATCAATAGATAAGGAAAAACTACATTGGATACCATTTTGTTCCAATCACATAACACAACACAACAACAATTTGTTTGTCGAAACTAATGGCTGCAAAAAAAATCATAAACATTGGCCGAAGTCACCCCGGCGGCCAAAGTCACCCCAGTTGATGGTAGTTCCTTTACTTGCTGCTGCTGGTGCTGCCATCTGTACGTGGGCCCTTCTAGACATTAAATTTTGCTTGCTTTCTTATTAAACTCTATAAAATATAATAATTAATACTTATTATTATTGATTATCATCAAATAAAATTCATTTTATACTACTAATTTCATTCTACAGTCATTTGCAAAAGTTTAAGACCACCCACAGAATTTGACCTAAATCAGAAATAGCCCTTTTTGGATAGGCGGTGTGCAAATTTGAGCCTGTGGCGGGCGTAATAGTAGCCGCAGGCGGTCGGAGAAGTGTGTTTGTGCGTGTCTTACCTCCCAGCATTCACAAGAGAAGGTTGTAGCTGCAAGACAGCAGAAATTTCATTTATAAGAAATGGGCTGAAGAGGTCGGAGCATACGTGGAAAACAACCAGCCGTGATGACAACATGATGAAGCTCACTGTTGCAAGATCTCCAACAAGTTCCAATTAGAAAATTCAATGAATATTGCTTCAGAAAGGATGTGCGGTGAGCATCAGTTCTATTTTACGCCGTTTAAGCAAAGAATTTCACCTAAAGAGTTCCAAGCCTGCCCAAAAACCAAAGTTAACTGCTGCCATAAAAATTAAGCGATTGAATTTTGCTCGGAGATATCAAGATTGGACGGTTGCCAAGTGAAACACAGTGTTGTTTTCAAATGAAAGTACATTTCACCAGTTTGGGTCACACCATCAACACATTAGGTGACCAGTTGGTAAAAGATTTGATGAGAAATATACGGCGCCTACCATGAAACATCCACCCAGTGGCATAGATTAGGGGGTATTTAGCCATAATGGGACAGCTGTATTGTACTTTCTGCCTCAGAAAACAACCATGAATGGAGAAAGGAACCTCAAGCTGCTTCAACAAAAGCTTGTACTACACATGGGAATACCCCAGTGTACTCTTTTCATGCATGACGGTGCTCCATGCCATCGGGCCCAGCAGTTGAAAGATTTTTTTTACCTCAAACAACATTGAATTGCCGGACTGGCCTGGAAATAGCCCAGACTTGAATCCAGTTGAAAATTTGTGGTCAGTCATGAAAGATAAGGTAGCAGCAAGCCGCATTCAAATTTGAAGTCATCATCAGAAGAATGTATTAAGCAGGTATGCTGCTAGGAATTATCTAAGGAGTACTGTCAGAAACTTATCAGCAGTATGCCACAACGAATCCAGGCTGTTATTGACAATAAAGAGGGACAAAATAAGTACTGAATATATCAAATGTATAATAAATTGCATGTTATTTATTTACTTTGTTTCTCAAATACAAACAGTTTGAATATTTTGCCTCGATATCCACTTGTAATGCAAAAAGCCCAAATTTGGAGGGTGGTCTTAAACTTTTGCAAATGACTGTACTTGTACCTAGTAGAATAAATATTACTTTTTGTACAATTTTTTCTTTTTTCTCCTGGCTGTCGTTCATGGGAAACGTTTTACCAAACACATTGTTACAACAATTGGCATGGAGAATTCATGTGACGACTTTATACGTTTTACTTGAAAATTGAAATTCTACTTGAAAATGATGAATTTCACTTATAGCAAAGCATGGAAATATGAGTGTACAATTATGATGAATTTGTAGCAGGAACACATATCTAGTACCTAAGCAAAATTAGCAGTCAATGTCAAGTGACTCTGCTAAGTGACTTTTTGGTGAAACGCCTGGACAGAACAATTTTTTAGTCAAGTTTCTAACCGAAATAAAATTTATTTTACATGCATGTATGATAATGGAGATACCTTGAAGTCTCTTAATTTTAAAGCATTGAAATCAGTGCAGAAACGTCAAGTTTTAATATTTTTTAGGCATTTAATGACTCAAAACCTGACTTCAGTGAGTCAATTTGTTTTGACAATGTTCAAGATTTTGTCTGTTGAACTGTTGTTGTTGTTGTTGTTGGGATGTTGGCTGACACTGTCCTCTTGTTTATAATCAGTATGCTGGTGGATCTTGTGAGGGAATGTGCTAGTGTGCTGTGGATCCACTGGAACGGGTGGAACGGTCTGTAAAAATGGTCAATTGGTTAGAAATCTCTGAATAGCATATACTTTTATAGTACTTTTTTCATTGCACCATGGTCTATACGGCACTCTCTAGACTCGATAGATATAGAAAATAATTCGTGATCATTGTCAATCCAATCCTTAATCTAGAGCAGAATTGTCCAAAAATTGCTGGTAAAACTACAGCTTCACTACTACACCCATTCCCCAGGATGCAAACATTCAAGTAGCAAATTAGGTAAACATGAAAAAAGCAGTCCACATTGCCAAAGTTTGCCTTTAAGCATGGTTCCCAGGCTGCCAAATGGCTGCAGTAGGAACAAATATGAGCAGCACATTACAACCGTATAGCTAAGTGGTTCCCAAAGTGGGCAGTACCACCCTTCTGGGGGCTATGGAAAGGTCTGCAGGGTTTGTACTGGTCATGGAAAATCTGGAAAGTCATGGAATTTGAATTTTCATTTTCCCGGCCTGGATAGTTATTGGATTTCATTTCAGGTTATGGAAAGTCATGAAATTTGCGAATAAAAGAAGAAAAAAGGAAGTGTTTTTCTATGCTGTGTGTGTTAAACTGTTTTTGCAGTCTATTGTTTTCTGCATTCTGTTTGGGGAACCAATCATGTGATTGCGGTCACTGAGCTCAATTGCATTGGACAACTTTTTGATGTGCAGTGGCAGTGTTCCATCTTCAGGGTGCAATTTCTACATCACCATGCCTGGAAAGTGTAAATTTCATGATTTGTGGTTAAGAATAAAAGCTTATCATGCCTGGCTTGTTTGCCATCCAAAGCATGAAGGTATGGCAATATGTACATTGTGCTCGAAAGACTTTGATGTGTCAAATATGGGGAAGCAGCTTTGAAGAACCATGCCACCTTTGAAGAGCCATGAAGAGCTATGCATTTACACATTTGCTATTAATCAACTGTAGGAGATAATAGAATATGCATGGTTGGTCTTTCAGTCATGCTAAACCTGTCATATACAAGTCTTCCAAAATTATGTTGATAGTCATGGAGAGTCATGGAAAAGACATGAATTTTTCTTCTAAATACCGGTACAAACCCTGGAGCTGGACGGGGGGGCAAGAAAGAAGGAGGCAGCAGTCCAAAGTTTGAACATTTGTTTGACCATTTGTACACAACATGTTCACCTGCGCGGCTCCAGCAATGGGTTTTCCACCTAGATCTGGATTTTTTAACCTTTCCTGGGTTTCTAGTGTAAATTTTTGAAAATATTTTAAATCTGGGTTTTTTAGTGCATTTTCTCATTTATGGAAAAAATGCACTATATTGTGCTTGCCATGTCCGTCTGTCTGTCCATCTGTCTGTCCGTTACTTCACGTTTTTGTTGACTAGAAAATGCCCTCTCTGTCACTCACTGCAGTGAGTACTGAGTTACGTATATTTTTTTGTGTCTGTGGGGGGGTGCTAGGAATTAACTGGGTAGCCAAGGGGGCGCCAGCCTGCAAAAGGTTAAGGAACCAATGGTATAGCTTGTTGTACCATAACCAAAAAGAATTGGTAGGTACATTCACTTATTATGGTATGATGAAAGTATTTTCCTATTACCCTATATATTTTATGTATATATACTAGGTAATTAAAGGGTTTTCAAACACATCAAAAACCACCAGTTGTTTCACTGTAGTACAGGTAACTGGCAATGTTTTTAGGGGACCTCCGACAGTATGCCCGGTTGTAACTTTTACTGTAACCAAACATACTGTAATTATGATACTACAATTTATGCAGGTCATCTGGAAAACATTATTGTCTAGATGGATTCTTCAAGTTTTATTTATATATATTGTTTTTCAGAAATGAGGTCTATAACAAATTTTCAAACCAAATTTCAAATTTTTCACATGTGTCTACTAGAACAAACAATTACAATATTTTCATAATTATATTCCTGTGAATTACCATGTCTTTTTGAGTCATTTTATTTATAAATCAGTGTACTTTTTCAGGGAGACAAGTTCATCAAGGTATAAATGCATCACATCCATTATAAATAATGGCTTCTATTAATGCTGTTGCTGCTCCTGATTTCCAAGCAAATGGTTATTCTAATAATATAAGTCTTAGTGCCAGCAGTCATTTAAATCAACAGCCTTCTCATCATTCTGAACTTGCCAATTTAATCAAAAGAAGTGAAGCGCAGTCAACCAAATACCTACACATTCTACAAAAGGAGAGAGAAGAGAATATTCAAGAAATTCAAACTGCTTATGGTTGTTATAAACAATTTAGTCAAGAATTTGATTTATCTCAAGAAGAGCTCAAGGAAACCATTCAAGGTGAGTTTGTTCAATCACTTCCTGTTGAGTTTTTGGTTCACCAATAGTGTTTTTTTTCACTTTTTTTTCAATTTTAGTTTAAAAATTTGGTCAAAACATAGGGCTACTTAAAATACCACATGGTTTAGAAATTGCTTGTGGTGCAAATTAATTGAAAAAATTAATTAATTAATTGATTACTTTTGAGATTTTAATTACAAATTTATTTCAAATTAATTTTTATTTCAGGACTACTTAGAGCTGAAGCTGCACATCAGAAGCAGCTAGATGCTTCAAGGACAGCGCAAGACAGACTTGATACTGCTAGCCTTAAGGCTGAGATTGAAAAATTTGAGAAAATTAAGGTATAAGTTTTCATTATTCGAGTGTAAACTTGTCTAAATATTTTGAAGTTATTTTCTAGTGTGTTCATAACAAAGTTAAAAGTAAGAAGCCCTATAGCATTTGAAAATGAATGAAATTTTGTGATATTGCTTTTCTGATTTTTTTAAAGCAGACTCTCACAAGGATTGAGCTGAGTGAGTTTATTGGGTTCTTTGATAGTTAGTAACTGCTCTATTCCAAAGTAACTTCTCTTATCCGAAGTACAAAAATAAATGGTACAAAAAATTTGGTCTCATATATAGGCTATCACACCAAAAAATTGGTTTCTTCTATCACAGCAAAAAAATTTACTTTAAATTCTAAATATTCTTTTATTCTATTCAAATTTCCTCATAGGTATATTTTTTTGAGTTATTTCTTCAAATAGGTACTGCAATATACTTGTAAATATGTACTTATTATATAATGTACTTGATAATATACCTGTAATAATATACTTTGGATCACTTGAAATAATGTTTGTTATTCTCCAGGATGCTTGCAATGCTGACACACGGAAGATAGAGGAGCAGATCATGGAACAGCAGCGTGTCTTGGCCAGCATTGCTGAGCGCTGCAAGCAGCTGTCTTCAAACAAATCTTCAATCTTACCCAAAATAAAGCAAGTCTCTTTTTTGTTTATAGAAACACTTTGACTCTTTCCCTGTTATTCATATGCACCATATGTTTGAGTTGTAGATATCAATATTAAAAGGTATTGGAATAGTATACCTATGTGACTTTGAGATTTTTCACGGATTAAACTATAGATATGAGCAAAGGTCTGACATTTCTATGCCATTTAGCTCTCATGACAGTATTTTGAAATATATGCAAATGAAATATTTAAGCTATGATGATTTAAGCTATAATGTTTTCAAAATGAAAAAGAAAGAAAAGTTTTTGTTTTTGCCTGAAAGTTTGTAGTAACCTTCCACTTATTCTTATCATTATTTACTGTTTATTGAACTGATTTAATTTTGCATTTTAAACTTTAAACCCATATTTTGGAAAGGGGGCTTGCATGTTTCGATGATGCCACAGGCTGACGCTGTACAGTCTCTGATCTAATGATGGCCGAGTGGATCAGGTGAAATCAGACAAAATTAAAATGCCAAACTGTTCTCTCGGTGAAGGCCTGGATTTCGTTTGGACTTTAAGGGATGAGCCATGGCAGGATTTGCTCGTAGTCTGCCTAATTCGCTTGTGGTCTTAAATGGCGCGTGTTAGTCTAATGCCTTCTGAGCATGTGAGAGGCTTTTTGAACACAACACAGAGAGAGAGCTGTGCTCTCACTGCCAAGCCATTTGATCACTCATCCTGTTGTGCGCGGGACAACTGAGGATATATCCGAGCCCGGGAGCCATCCTGTCAGGACTGTGTGCTGAGCATTAGGCATCCCCTTGTTGGAGGGAGTAAAGGGGGAATAATTTATTCCAGAGTGCACTCTCCTGAACGCCCCTCTCGTCTTGACATCCACGACTCAGACACTCGCCATCGGACTAATTACGACCTCCTTCACTACCGCACCAGCAGAACTGCTACCCTCGACTCTCGCGAGCCCTAGGCATTAGCAGACTGACGGAGATTTTGACATGACAATGTAACCATATGCATTGAACAGATGCCAAACTTGCAGTGTAAATACCAAGACAAGAGCCTGACTAGCGCGCAATTCTTGCTTTAGGAGACGCAGTTTTTAAAATGAAAACCTTAACCCCAGCCTATGTGACTAATTCTCATGGAACAGATAATTTCTGCATGTTACTATCTAATGACCGCCACCAGTTCTCATTTAAAAAAATAATATGGAAAGAAATAGAACTAACTGATTCACAGCCATCTTTTGTGTCGAAACTCTACAACTAAATGATCCCTGATGCCTGTGGCGCTGGTGGTCAATAAATGCTATGGGTCAACTCTGACAAAAACCGATGACACAGGCGACTCGACCTAATGCCCTGAAGAAACTGTCACACAATCTCGCAATGAACAAACTGCAAACCAAACCTACACTTACCTATTTTCCCACTCAAATTCGCATGAAATGATCCTACCACAAGTATAACGCTCCATGGAAAAGGTTCCTAAGCATCACCTCTCAATAGTCTGAATCATCACATAGGTACCAAAATTTCTAGATCGCAACTCAAACCAAGTGCTACCTAAACGAAGACCGGTACATCGAGGTCGGAATTTGCAGGTAAAAAAGAATTTGAATTCAATACAATGATGTGGCATGTAAAGTATGCTTCTTGGACTTTGGTAACGAGGGTAATAGAACTGAGCATGACGCACTCAACGAGTGCCTCATCCCTTCGCATTTCAGCTTACTCATCTTTGTTCTCCCAGAGTGCACATGTATGCGTGTGATGAGAAATTTGACAAGAAAAGATTAACGTGACGCATCATCGCTTGTATGCCTGTATTAATGAAACCTTAATAGCCCCACTCTCACAGCTAACTGATAGAGCACAATTTTAGCTCCTCAAGCGACCGGTTAACGCCCCTGACAGCTTTGCATGTCACCGCGGAGCGCCCCAGCTACAATGACATCCGAATATCCGAACACATCTACCGTCGAACATGACTAAATTCTAATCAGGATTCTGATGAAAGCCTTCCCAAAGTTACTTAAGAACGAATAATCTTGAACAATTTTGAATCAAATGCAACCTACTACTGGAGTTCTTTTGTGATGCCCTAAACGGTGTCGCCTCTTTACCACAACTTTAAATTTTGCATGCCATACTCAAGACCAAGACTAACCTTCACCTTCACGGCAATGAGCGGCACATAAAACTGAAGTGACAAACACCGCAGCGGACTATCCCTGTGGCAATTGAAAATCTGACTCAGAACATCTGCGGTAGAATGGATGAGACTGCAAACCTGGGACTACCAAATTGATCTGATGATTCGCCTTAACCCTCTACCGCCTGACACGAGTGACCGGAGCAATATTGTCTCAAGCATACGTCCCAAAACGATACGTTCTAGTGAGCGCAAAATGACATGCACTGATTGTTGCCGCCACGTACGACAATTTTAAAATGTTCTCTGTTGCGTACAAACGTCCTCGGGTTGCTACACTCAATAGTTTATGTATAATATAAGTTGAAAGGTATGTTCCCGGAGAATGACATATGGCGGTAGAGGGTTAACTGAAGATCTCCGTAATATATATAGATAACGTCTTTCTAAAACGCTTGAAAACCTCTCACTACCACTATTTATTTTGAACCATCTATTTTACATGGTTGAATTAAATTAATGGAAGTTGAAGTTGACAAATTGTATGTCCTTTAATTAATTTCTTCTATGCGCAGGAAGAAGATAAACCTGTACACTCGACTCACTCATATTACGTGGAAGTATAATTCTCCAGAAAATGAAGTTTGTGGCTGTATCCTTTACCGCGCTTATGAATGATAATATTTTTTGTTTGCTTTAACTGATACGTTTTTATCATCTTCATGCCGTTAATGTTTATGTCCAACTCGTCACCTTGCGATACAACCCATTGCGCTCTAGTTTTTATGTATATGTAACTAATATTTTACCTTAAAGCTGACATTAAATAGCTTTCTTAAGACTGAATTTCGTAGTATGTGTTCTAACTGTAAATTATAACTACTGTGATACCTCGACTTACGAACTTGATTTATACGTGACTGGGTTCGTATGAGAAAATGTTTGTAAGGAATTTAAAAGCAAAGAAAACGCCAAGAAAAAACGCCGTGCACAACAGAACTCATAGACCAGGTTCTGATCTGTTTGAGTTCTGTTGTGCACGCTGTGCATCTACGTACGTTGGAATGACGTCGCGTAACTTCTACATCCGGGTTTCTGAACACCGTGCAGCATGAGCTATCGTTCTAACTTGCCTCTCGCCAAGCCTCCTCATTCTTCCGTGCGCCTCCATGCTGAACAGTGCGACGTGGCTGTATCTGAGAGTGATTTCAGGATACTCGGTTCCACTTCTGGCTGCTCGGATTTGAGAATTTTGGAGTCTCTACATATCTTCAAACAAAAACCGTGTCTCAATAATGCGTTTAGCTCATATAATCTGGAAATAGTAAATCGCTAGGATTTTATATTCTTGTCGTACCCCTAGGACTAAGTTGTTCTTAACTAGTCCTATTTATTTCGATATAATGTGAGGTCTTATTTAGGTTTTATGTCTGTCTTTGAATTTTGACTTTTAAAATGATTTTATTCATTTTTGGTTTAGTCGAACTGATGATGGAGCTGGACTCCGAAACGTTTTCAATATCAATATGGTGAATTTTCTTGACGTTTTCTTTGCTTTTAAATTCCTTGTGAACGTGCAATATGAGCAGACTAATAATATAAGTTCTTATATACGATCAAAATGTTTGTATGTGTAAACAATATTGGTATTTAATGTGTATTAACACAATTAAATATAATATTGCACCGAATCGGTTCGTAAACACCGAATCAGTTCTGAAATTCGGTTTGCAAGCAGAGTAAAAAATTCTCTAATCTCCCGTTTGTGAGTGAAGTTCGTAAGTCAAGCCATCTCTGTACTAACATAAGTTACCTACGTACACTGAAATTTTTCAATCGTTCTACTGTGAAATTATATCGTCCTGAATGATTAGACTATTTTTCTTGAAGGTTTAGAGAAATAAATCTAATTGGTAACTTTTTAATAAGTTCAAATATTTTATATCTGGTTTACATTTATCCTTTTATATTTCTACGGGAACTCTAGGATTCCAAAACAGTTTTTTTTCCTTAATTTGATGTTCAGTTGTCGCGAGGCCCGAACGGAAGGAGACTATTCCTTTCAAGCTGAACACCCAGAGCAACTCCGAGTTCTTCATATCCAACTTCTTGTGGGACCAACTCACTCTTGATTCAACGGACTTCGACTGATGGTCATCTCACGCTACATTCAACGGACTTCGACTGATGGCCAACTCATGCTTGATTTGACGAACTTCGACTGATGGTCAACTCACGCTACATTCAACGTACTTCGACTGATGGCCAACTCATGCTTGATTTAACGAACTTCGACTGATCTATGCTTTTGTTGGAAACTAGCAACCCAGACTCGAAGTTCAAATTTAGTGATGATTTTTAAAAAAATATATAATGCTGCAGTTCTAAAAAGTTTAGACTGCATTGTTAGATTTAACATGCCTGAATATGAATGATATTCCTCTCACAAATGTGAGAGGTCGCGAATTAACACTGATGAACATGTACCTACTTTCATCCGCCTCCCGTCAATTACCCCTGAACAATTGATCTCCTTTGGTTAGAGCTTAGAGTAACTACTTGTGTAGAGAAAATGACAGTTGTTGCTGAGAACGGGAAGGCAAATTATTTTATAGACGTGAAATCGCGCATATGTCCCAGTCTTTTTAATTTCAATGTGCATGCATTTTGTCGTAGTACAATATTTTCATGTAAATTAGGCTTAAAAAGAAACATAATTTTACGTATGGTTTGGCTCGGAAGTAAATATTTTCGACTTCTAAATTAAATGCAATGCCTGTCGTGGCTAGGAATTGGTGACTTACATGCTATTTATTTTAGAAAAGAATGTAAACTTGTTCAAATTTTTGTTTTTCCCCATGTATGATTACATTTATTGTATTGTCGTACTCATCAAACAACTTCAAACCATTGAATCTAAATTTTCTATAACTTGTTTGGATCACTCAAACATATTAAAATATTTTTCTGACCAGTTATTTTTTACCAGCTGAGAAGTTGAAATTGAAATGCGTGTTGACCTCCGGTCACGACATTTATATCGCTCATACACCATGATACACGCTGCCTAAAAACTTATACTAGCATAAAAAAATTAAAAGTTCACACTCGTATCATAACAAAAAAGTTCAATTAAACCGTATTTACAGCAGTCCTAAGAAAAAAGCTTAACAATTTCGTTTCTTTAATGATCATCGATGATGAGCAGGTTATTGAAGGTCTAAAGCCGAGTACTGTAGCAGATCTCTTGAAACTATTATTATTGTCAAATTTCAATCATTTTGTTAATGGGAAAGCATTAATGACTTGATAACTGCAGGTCGCAGTCGCATCAAGTCGCAAAATGGAATACGTTTCCGATAACTTCCATGCGAACGATAAACATATTGGGCACTTATACGGCCGGATTCAAGGCCGGTCTCTAAGTTTCAGTAAGCCCAAACTTATGAACTATCTCCCAAACTGATAAACGCTGCTCGATGAATCGTCGAACACGTGTTTAATAGGATCTAACGGTGATGTTTAGTTCGTAATCATTTTTCCCATTGCGCCTTCGCCTCAAAATTATACTAAACAAATCTGAACCGTAACATACAATACATATATTAGGCTCACTACGAACTTTGGTCCATATATGTAACTCGAAAACGAAAGTGAAACCGAAAAAATTATAACGACCTAAACATTTCTGATGGGTCCTATTGAACACTTGTGCAAAGTTTCATCGATGTGCGTTCATTAGAGAGATATTTTATGCTCAGTAAAACTTGGAGACCGGCCGTACCAGTATCTGAGAGGTAAACGACAATGACAAAGAAGACTATTTACAAAACCATGTAGCCTAATATGAGATCGACGCCTGTCGGAGACCACCACTGCCTTGCTTCGAATGGACTATCATGATCCCTTCCCTGAAGAACGTAGTCTACAACACTTCTTGACTGTAACATCAGCCGCACGCCACCAGACAAATCACATCCATTGAATTATGAATGATATAACAAAAACATGAATTCTTCTTCATTATATTTTCAAGTTTAGTGATTGAAAAAAATAACTAACTTTTTATTAAAATTGCAGCTCGTCGTTGAATGTCGATAGATATTTAACGGCCGACAAATTCCCCAATTAATAACTGACACCAGAAATATATGTGGAACTGGAAACATATTCCCTGTTAACTAGAACTATACATGGTTGTAGTCATGGTTGAACTGGTATGTGGTTCAACCATGGTTGAAGTAGTTAATAATATAATAATAATAATAATAATAGCGGTTGCAGCGTTTATTAGGCCGTAGGCCTGTCGCCGATTCTTAACATCGCAGAACATTCACAGCATTTTGCGGTCTCGAACTCGCAACTCACTGCTACAATTGGTACTCTGAACTTTAACCACTGGGCCACCCTGCCCTTAACCACTGGGCCACCCTGCCCTAGTTGAACTGCCCTAGTTGGTTGAACTAGTTAACATGGTTCAACCATGAGAACTATATGTGTCCTGAACACATTTAATAATATCAATTCCGTTCTCCAACAAGTTGTTCGTGAACATTAATCTCATCAAATCAAAAGTGGCAGATATTCCTCATAGAGACATTTATGGTTTGTATCTCTGGGTATTTAGTTACCTTACTTTGGCGGGCTCGGTTTAAATTTTATTGGACGAAGGCGAAATTGTTAAAAAAAAAGTATGAAATTTATTAATTTTATTTGCTGGAAAACAGTGGTGTGAATAAAATCAACATTAATTCCATCCATTCAAAATTTTCAGTGGAAATTGCTCCATTGAATTCGAAATTAAAGAATGTCGATTCTTTCCTATATTAACGTTATTCATGTTCGGCTCAGTGAAGAAACAGATCAGCACCCGATATTGTGAATTAAGAATATAAATCAATATACCGTTTCAATAACCTGATATGACAATTCTATTTAAAGTCAGACTAACACTTTAAGCTAGATTTTCCAATAAATCCATTACCATATCCAAATTTTATCACTAGATGTCACTGCCTGAGCATTTCCTGATGACAGTGATGTGTGGAGCAAAATATAAGCACTGAACCGCATTGCCAATTTCGCCTTTCAATCGATCATAACTCTTGCGCCCGCTTTATTTAACTGTCGTTTTCGGCCTTATAGCAGTTGAAATTGTTGTATGAACTACCTAGCTATCTTACTATGCCTGTTGGATGCATGAAGGATATTATGGCATAATTAAAAACTGATACAATATTTAACTCGATTTTATATGTTTATTATCATCAATTATCTTTTCGTTATTGGATATTAGGTATATCGATATCATAGCATCTAAAGTTTGTTAACCATGCCGTGTGAAATGATAACTTTGCAGTTAGGGCAATGTGGAAATCAAAGTGAGTACTAAAAGTTCAAATGTTCCATGTCATTCAGAGATAAAATAAACATAATGCCATACACAAATGAGATGCTGACTGAGAGACTGAGTCTTTGAGACTGTGTTGCAAATTTTGTCTATATAGCTAGCTAATTTAATTAGCTATACCAATGTTGCCACTTGCCACCCACGCAGTCACACTTTATATTCTACTAAGAAGTCAGATTATCAGAATGCCCTAATTTTCTAGTCTATATAAAAAATTTAAGTGTGAAAATTTGGAACTCAGCAGTGTGCAATTTGAGAATTGAAGTGAGGGGATGAATATTCAAATAGGCTATAATCAATCTGTGTCTGTTATTTATTACAGTATGGAATTCTGTATAGGTAATAGGGTAAACGCGGTATATTCCGACATCGTAGGTAATTCCGTCACTTCTCTAGTTTTTCCTTTATATTAAGCTTTGTTTTAGTTCCATGCGTTCATTGATGGTTGAAATGGTGACGTCATACATTTGTGTGTCGAAATACTGCAAAAACACTAGGTCTTGGCCATCTAGCGGGAAAATATTGAGATCCAAAGAGAGACAATGCATGCCA